CCGGCTGCACGAGCCTCACCAGCCTGCCCGCGGGGCTCAGCGTGGGTGCTCACCTCGACCTTAACGGCTGCACGAACCTCACCAGCCTGCCCGACAACATTGCCGAATGGGGTCCGCGAAGAGATGGACGCAATGGAGGCACGCGCATCATTGACCTGAGCGGTTCAGGCATCTCTGAAGCCGACAGAAATCGTCTGGTTGAACTCAATCCGCAGGGCATGCAAGTTTACTTCGATGAAGCGTGATCAGAGATTGACGAGCCTTCGTCTTCCAGCATCACGCAGGTCATCGGCTTCTGGCAGGCCGCACAGGTGCCCGGGAGCGGCCGGGGGTTGGGCCAGATAGACCCCAGCAGCTGGCAGCTAGAGGCGGACGACCAACGCTCCGTGAACGAGTTTCCCTACCGCCTGCGTGGCACGGCAGACTGTCGAAACGAACGGACATGGCCGCTATTGGCCTCTCGCGTGGCGATGCTGCTTGCGACCATGGACCGGAGCCCCGAGCTGCGGCAGAAATGCTGCGAGCTCATCTCAGAGGCGCTGCAGAGCTGCGGCGACAGGGTCATCCTCGTCATGAACCAGCTGGAGCTGGCAGTGCGCGTGCACGAGGCCGAGCAGGGCAGCATGGGGGCGGAGGCCCTGCGAGAGCTGGGGCTGGGGATGATGAAGCTGGACGTCGTGCATGAGCATGCACGGAGAACGGCTCGAACGCGTACCTGTGTCGACGAGAGAGAGGTCTTTTTGGTCTACGAGACCAGGCTCCGCAAATCGTTGCGCCTACCCGTCTCTACCCAGGGCATGCTGTATGGCGACGAAGTGACCGAGCAAGATTTGCAACGTGCAGCCAGCGAAGCGATCGCTGCCGCCAGTGACCCAATCAGGCAGGCCGCCTTTTTGGCGTCTTGGGCGCCATGGCAGGCCCATGAGCGTCGCCTGGCCGTGGCCTCCGTCTCCTACGAGAGCTTGCCAGAACAGGACATTCGCTTTCCGCAGAGAAAAGAGCCTGTATGCACCATTATGCAGGAGCCACTCAGTGCGCTGACATCACCTTTGCTTCACCGCCAGGGCAGCGCATGGCACCTGTATGAGGCAGAAAACTTTCTGACGTGGTGAAATGACCGCGGCACCGACCCCAACACGAAAGCGCCCATCGCGCTGTCGGACCTGTTCCGTCTGCGAACGACCCGTTGAGTCGCAACTACATTGCCGGTCGCAGATTGCTGCTCCAACTTTCTACTACATGGGGTGGGGATACGGATTGGTTTTCACGACCATGAAAAGGCAGAGAGCACAGTATCTTGTCGTGGGCACAATCCTCGCGCTCGTCAGTCGCGTGATCTCATTTCCTGCGAGCTTCTTCGTAATCATCTTTACCAACAAGTACGACCTGTTTGAGTAAGATTCGGTGACGTTAAGATGGCTCCATGCACCACGTCTGAGGACGCTACCGCAAATCTTTCATGCTTTCATTACCAGCCCAAAGCAACACTATATATATGCCCCGAGACTTTTACAACGCAAAAGCGGGATGCGCAGACAAACGCCCCGCCAAAAGACGCATACAGACGTCTGTGGATCCACAGACTTCCACTTTTACGCCGTAAAAGCGCGCAGACAAAACGCGCGCCATACATGCCATACGCGCCCGCCCGCACGCACGCACGCACGCACGCCATATCCACTGCCATATGCGCCATACGCGCTTGGCTGTGAGATCAAATTTGATCCCTATTGGTATAAGTCAAAGAGTTTACGGCATAAACTAGGGCGCATCCCGCCAAGAAATGCTTCTGGAAGTCTGCAGATGTCAACTTTGAGGATTTCACACCGTAAAATGGCGCAGAGAAGGCTCTGGCTGTAGATGAAATTTGATCCCGCACACAAGGTTTTGGCTGTGAGATCAAATTTGATCCCACGCACGCACGCCTTCCTGCATGCATGCCTGCACAGGTTCTGACTGTGAGATCAAAGTTGATCCCACGCAAGCACGCACACACGCACAGCTTTTGGCTGTGAGATCAAATTTGATCCCGCACGCACGCAGGCACGCACGCACACACGTCCAGATACAGATGTGTGCTGCAATCTGTCTGGCTGTGAGAACAAACTTGGTCCCACACCCAAGCACATGAGCGCAGGCTCTGGTTCACGCATGCACCAGTCTGGCAGTACAAGGATAGCCAATGTGAAGGTGTGGATTTGTTGTCCCCTTTGCGAGCCTTGTCCCTGGCTATGAGGCAGCACAGGCTTGAACAGAAGTGCCTTTGGCATAGCTAGCCAGAGAGTGCTGAGCGGTTGTTGCCCCTACAAGCTGTGTCTCTGAGTGTGGGGGGGAGAATGCTGTGTCATGAGTTGTCCCAGAAGGACCAACAAAAGGCTGCTTGTTGCCATCAATGGATAATTCAAAGAGATAGTGCAAGTAGGCAAGGCTGCAGAACAGTCAAAGGATGCAGAGCATGTGTAGCAGGTGTGGAGCATGCAAGGCAGTGGACAAGAGTCTAGAACAGTCAAGCAACAAGCATTGGTGGCAGGAAAGTGTTTGCAGGATACTCAGGGACAGTAGATGAAGGAGTTTGAGACCAGCACAGAGGAGCTAAAGAGTCAGTAAATAAGAGGGTTTTGTGGAATGGATTGGGCAGGGAAGAGTCAGTAAATGAGAGAGATTTGAGGACTTGAGAGTCAGTAAATAAGAGAGTGTGTAAGCAAGCAGGGGGGATCAAGTTGGTAAATGAGAGTGTGTTAGTGCAAGTAAATAAGAGAGGTGGGTGAAGAAGAAAAGGATCTGGTGACATTAGCATGTGTTAATGAGAGTGTGGCAGAGAAGCAAGGAGGAAGTGAGAGGATGTTAGTGCATGTTGATAAGAGAGCTGGGGGAAGAGAGGGTCAGTGAGTGGGGGAATGTTAGTGCGTGTTAATGAGAGAGCTGTGAGGAGAGAGGGTCAGTCAGTGAATGAGGGGCATTTAGTGCGTGTAAATGAGAGGGCTATGAGGAGAGAGGGTCAGTCAGTGAATGAGGGGGATGTTGGTGCATGTAAATGAGAGAGTTCTGGGGAGAGAGGGTCAGTCAGTGAATGAGGGAGCAGTGGAGAAAGAGGTGAGGAAGTAAGAAAACAGGGCAGTGAAGCAATGAAAGTTTGATGCAGCAAAGTGAAGGTGGGCAGTTAGTGCAAGTAAATGAGAGAGTGTGGGGTTATGCAAAGCAGTGCAGGGATGGGAAGTGAGAACGGGCAATGAGTAAGCAAGTGAGGGGGTGTTAGGGCAAGTAAATGAGAGAGGGGTGGGAAAATTGGAGGGTTGTGGGTGTAAACATTTGGTGTGGAGGAAAGGGGCATTTTGATAGAAGATGGGTACAAGGGGAGTGTGCAGGGGTTGTAGCAAGGTGGATTAGGGTTAGAGGAGCATGATGAAGGTGTGAATTGTTGGTTAGATGCATTTTTTGTTGGGTTAGATGCGTTTTTTGTTGGGTTAGATCAGTATTTGAAGGGTTAGGGTTAGGGTTACATACGGGTTCCCAAAGGGATTGAAAAACAACATGGGCTCAGAAGAAGCAGAAAGATGCCCTGATACTGCTGTTGAAGTTTCAGATGCTACCCTGGGGGTTTTGGTGGAGGTATGGGCCAAAGAGTGAAAAATCTCCAGAATTTCCAGGGGTAGCCCCTAGAATCTGCAGGGGCTGCACGTCACCTCTGGATTTTTTCCAGGGATTGCCCCTAGAATTCTGCAGGGACACGGCCCTATCCCTGGTCACGGACGCCCCTTCCAGCGCAAGGGGCAGTCCCTATGGCACTTAGAAGAGGCCCTAGATCCCCCCAGGGACGACTTTTTATCCCTTGCTCATGCAGGGTCATGCAGGGTTCCAGTCCCTACCCCTAAGCTCCTTTTGGTGGCGTGATTTGGGCACGCGCCCCTACCCCTGGCCATGGAGTAGTCATGTGACCAGTGCTGGTACCCCTATATATATGCCCCAAGACTTTTACGGCGCAAAAGCGGATGCGCAGCCAAATCCCCCGCCAAAAAACGCGTCCGGAGGTCCGCGGATCCACGGACTTTCACTTTTACGCCGTAAAAGTACGCAGACAGATGCGTGCCATACGTGCCATACGCGCCATACATGCCATACAGATGCGCACGTCATACAGATGCGTGCCTGCCATACAGATGTGTGCGCCATATGCATGCGCACTTGCCATACAGATGCGTGCGCTGTACAGACAGTTGCGTGCACCATACAGATGCGCGCGCCATACAGATGCGTGCGTCATACAGCCGCGCGCCACGCAAGAGGCATCTGCCACACACAATAACCACTGTGCCATGTCACTGCTCTGGGGTCACCATACCCATCTACGGTCGCTCTCTATGCGTACCGTACACCCCTACAGTAACTCAAACCATCTGCCGTACATCAAAGCTTTGTGATCACTGTACGCACCTACAATAGCTTGAATGGCTGACGTAACCACCTACAATAGCTCAAGCATCCATCGTACTACACCAAAGCTGATCACTGTACCCATCTACGGTTGCTCTCTACGTGTACCGTACACCCCTACAGGCGCTCAAACACCTGCCATACTACATCAAAGCTCTGTGATCACTGTACGCACCTATGGTAGCTTGAATGGCTGTTGTAGCCACCTACGGTAGCTAAAATGGCTGTCGTAACCACCTATGGTAGCTCAAACACCCGTCGTACTACATCAAAGCGCCGTGTTCACTGCACGCACCTACAAATGCTACCTACACGTACCGTACCCACTTACGGTAGCTTCCTTTGTGTACTGTACACCCCTACGGTAACTCAAACTACCCACTGTACCCACCTACAGTAACTGAAGTCCCCCACCATACCCGCCTATGGTAACTCAAATCACCTGCCGTACTACAGTAAACTAAGGTAACTCAAACCGCCCACTGTACCCACCTATGCCTACGATAGCTCCCTACGCATACCATACACCTCTACGGTAGCTGAAACAGCCATTGTACTACATCAAAGCTCTGTGTTCAATGCATGCACCTACGGTTGCTCCCTACGCGTATTGTACACCCCTATGGTAACTGAAACCATCCACTGTACATCAAAGCTCCGTGTTCACTGTATGCAGCTACGGTAGCTTGAATGGCTGTTGTAACCACCTACGGTTGCTCTCTACGTGTACCATACACCCGTACGGGAGCTCAAACACCTGCTGTACTACCTCAGAGCTCTGTGTTCACTGCAGGCACCTACGGTAGCTTGAATGGCTGTTGTGACCATCTACGGTAGCTCAAACACCCATCGTACATCAACGCTGATCACTGCAATCAATGACGTAATACTGTATGTCCTTGTGATGTCATAGTCTGCTGCTTGCTTGCCGACTCACTTGCCGGCTACCTCCATCTGCCTTAGGGCTCCACCTCTCTGCGTGCGCTGCTGGCACTACTAGGACTGCTTGCGCAACTGCCAGACTTTGTTGGCCAATTCAAGGAGCACAAGCTAGCAAAAAAGTCGCAGATCAGAGCTCTGTGTGCGGGCAAAACTACAAAAGTAGGTAGCAGTGGTCATCTCCCACAGTCACTTGTGTATTCTAGCAAGCTGCCCTATGCCTGTCAGCCTTAGACAGAACTGGGGCGTGGCTGTTGGGATGTGTCGCAACACGGT